GGCCGTCTTCCTCGGCGTGCGGCGCTGTGTGCGGAGCGGCGGCAGCCATGGCCCCGCGGGTCTGGCGTCGGCGGGCGCTGGAGCGGTGTCTGGGCGCGGTCCGCAAAGCCACCGGCCGGCCGGAGAGCTTCCTCTCGTAAGTGCGCAGGGCCGGGGCTCGGGTTCGGCCCCGGTGTCTGGCGGGCGGGGGCTGCGGGCCCCCGTCGCATCCTGGAGGAGGGGGAAGGTAAAGGGAAGCGCCGATCTCTTTTCCCCAGATTTCAGCTCGTTTCCGCGCCGGTAGCTGATCACAAGTTTAAAAATTGTTGAAAGCTGTGCAGTGCGGATCTCCCGATCGCGTGCTCCTGAAATCATACTAAACTCAGTTATTAACGCCCGGAGCGCTTCTTCGCACGTAGGACTGCCTTTCATCTCCCTTCCCAGCACAAACGCTTTGTATTTTGTTGTCGAACTTAAAGTCCGATCTATGAAAATGTGCTTCTCAGATTGCTATTTCGAGCCCGATCTCTCCCTTGAGCGCTAGGCCCACAGCAACCACAGCCGTGGACTCTCAGCATCTCAGATTTAAGATGCCGAGAATGGACCGTTGGTTCCGTTCACCCCCGCAGCCCTGCACTCTGCCCTCCCTGAAATCCTTTCCCGTGCTCCATCCCCATCTGCCATCCCTGCCTCGGTAAATGGCACCTCTGTCCTTAACAGTTTTTCAGACGGTCGACTAAGCTGCTTTACGTCTTGCTTTTTCTCAGTTCTACGTCTTATGCATTCGCGCATCCTGTCAATTCTGTCTCCAAACTACATCCCGAATTCCACTGCTTCTCTGTCCACTCGTCAGCCCCCTATTGTCTTTCCTTTTCCTCCATAAGCCACCTTTCCAAAGCGTAAGTTCCCTCATTGTGCTCCTCCACCTAACACCTTCTGATGGCTCCTTTTTACGTTTAACATGGCAGACTCACCGCGGAGCCCTGTGCGATGCGGCTCCCACCTTCCTCCCTAACCTTACCTTTTCCTCCCCCGCGCTCCAGCCATGCTGGCCTTTCTGTCCGTCAGACTCGCCCAGCTCATTTCCATCTTTGGAAATTTGTTCTTGCTGTCTCCTCTGCCCGGAACACGTTTCCAGAACTTTGTAAGACTGTCTCTTTACGTACAGGTCTCATCTCAGATGTCACAGTCTCTGAGAGGTATTCTCTGTCTTCTCTAGCCAAACCAAGTGCAGACCGTTGGCTGTTGGAATGAATAGAGTGGCATATGATATAGCAGTGCTGAGAACTTGAGGCTAAGATTCACGATATAACTCTAGGCAGATAGATCTGTAACAGTTTCCCTGCCCAAAATCCGTACAGCAGGTTGACACATCCTTAGCTGACACTCATATTATGGGAGCCGATCAGCGGGATTGTTCGCTCTTGGGGAACAGGATCTATAGTCAAAACGGACATTTCATTCAGATTTGGCTTTGCACAGAGTTGGGCTTTTTTCCCCCCTTAAGTTCAGACTGCCGTGCAATCGTTACCCGTTATCATAAATCTCCGTCAACTTCCTCCCCTGCCCCCTCGATAGGGTTCAAGATCAACTGGCATCGGACTTCATTTCTTTAACGAAAGCACTTTATGACTTCAATAAAGCCCTAGAGCATGGCGGTGTCCGCGGGAGTCCCTTACGGAAACTGGTGATAGACAATTTCGATGATGAGCAGATTTGGCAGCAACTGGAAATGCAGAATGAGCCAGTTTTACGATTCTTCGAGAATGCAGTCGGCGACACCATCGAAGACGGAGACATCAGTCTTCTCCCCGAGAACGAAGAGCGGGAATGTGAAGAGGGCGACTCAGAGATGGAGGCCGATGGCCAGGAGGACCTAGAACAGGATGAGGAGGAGGAAGCGCCAGGCCCGAGTGGCGATGATGCCGACGATGACGAGACGGCCCGACGCTCCAGCGAATCCGGTCTGAGGAAAAGCCTGGTTTTCAGCGATGAGGATTCCGACCTTGACTTTGATATCAGCAAATTGGAACAGCAGAGCAGGGTGCAAAACAGAGTGCCTAGGAAACCGAGAGAAAAGTCCGTAGTAGATGATCAATTCTTCAAACTGTCGGAGATGGAGACGTTTTTAGAAACCATGGAAAAGGAGGAGGAGCAAAGAGGTGACGCCGAGGAGGACGAGATCGATTTTTTCGAAGACGTCGGCTCTGGCGAAGATGAGGGAGGACTATTCGGAAGCGAGAAACTTAAGGTACGGTTCTGGAAGCGGAGAGAAAGAGCACTTCTCCGCTTCCTCAAACTAGTTTTGTTCTGTTTCTCAAGAAGGGGTTTCACATGCCTCAGAACTCCCCAGGGCATCAGCGAAATATTTCAATCAGTTGAAAAAAATCAACTGGAAAAATTAAAACGCTGTCATTCCTCATCATAAAACACGCGTAGCTTAAGCCCTGTGATCGCGTGTCAGATTCCGAATTTTCTCTCAAACGTGTATTTTCAATAAGCACTAGAAACAGTGGGGAAAGGAAGGCGTTCGCATATTTAGGCTGGGGCGTTTTGGAAATCATGTGGTTAGAAGGTTTAGAGCTAAATAGCGCACTCTCTTCTCGGTGATAAACGCATCCATACTTCCGTTCGTCTGGGCTGGCAGTTCTCTGGTTTTCTGATAGTGTTAACAGTTGGCTAGTTTCCCTGTGTAATACACACACACACGAGCGTGATCGAATGCATTTTTCTATCCTTAATTAAAGCTTTTAAAAGTCGTTTTGTTTTAGTCAGGTAAAAGTTCCAGAAACCTGCAATACAAAGATTTCTTTGACCCAGTCGAAAGTGATGAAGACGGAGCAGGTGTTCATGACGATAAGCTGAGTTCAGACGAAGCGGAAGAAGTCGCTGAAGAAGGAGAAGGAGACATTTCCGAAACGTGAGTCTTCTGACTGACTCATCCTTTATGTGGTAGGCGGGAGCTGCCCAGTCACATCTGTGTCCTCGTAGTTGTCAGATACATTTGTCCTAAGAAGTTAGGTTCCCTTAGGTGAAATAGTAGATTCTCAAAGATGACCTGGTCTTAAGATGAGAGAAGGTCTCTCAATTTGAAGACTTGTAGAGACCACCCACTGATAAATCACCGGCGGTAGTAATCAAACCTTTATTACAGGAAACTGATTTGATTGTTTTTCTGCCAGTAAAAATACCCTATTGGTATTTTTGTGGGATAGGTTCGTATGGATGAAGAATTTATTTTCTTTGCGTTGGACACTTTGTTCTGTTTCACCTAAACGTCTTTCTGTTCCTTAGTAACTGAATGCTGTTAGAAATTCTGAATATTTAGTTGCATTTGTTATACAGAAGAAAGCTTTAATGACTAGACAGTCAGTTTGTTTTCTCATGGAAGGTGGCGTTTTTCCATTCATAAGCGTTTTTGTGTTACAGGGATGAAGGCGATGACCTTGAACAAAGCGAAGACGGTGGGCAACGTAAAGAAACCGTGAAAAGAGTGACTTTCGCTTTGCCAGATGACGAAGAAGAAGATTCAGATGTCTTCACTGTACAGAAAGAGTCCGATGAAGTTAAATCCTCTTTTGAAAAGAGACAGGAAAAGGTACCAAATGGGCATTTAAGGAATTTTTTATGCAGAGGGATAAAAATCTGAAATAGCACAGTCCAAGACCAGCCCCGAGAACAGCAAACTGGACCTCGTTGTCTTGACTCAGGATCAGGAAATCTATTTAATCCTCGGTCGTAAGAGATTAAGGAGAAAAACCTTATGGTCACCTCCGTATGTATCAAAAAGACCCTTGATGCAATCAAATGTTCATTCCTAATTTTCTTCACTCCTACCGAAATACAGATACATCTAGGCAAAAGGCGCCATCGTGCTTCTTGGTATAATTTTCGAAACATCCCTTTCAAATCAAGAATGAGACAAAATGTCCATTCTCACCATCACTGCTGTTACTTACCGTTCTTGTCTGAGTGTTAGCCAGCGCAGCTCCAAAGGAAAAACATGGGAAAACCCGAAACGCAAGCGTTAGCGTTTGCAGAGGGTCCCGGGAAAACCAAGCAGACGAACTGAAAAGCAGTTGGGAAAAATAAGTGAGTTCACTACGGGAGCCGAAGAGGCCGGCGCCGTGCTCGCTCTCGGCCACTGCAGAGCTTGTCCTTAGAAGTTAGAGACCCTTCGAATTGGGAGTGGAGCCAGGCAGCAGGCGCCACCAGATACTAATGTAATCAAATCGCTGCTGAATCTCAGATGCTCTAATAGTTAAAATCGAGAGTGGCTTGTGAATAGATAGGTCCTTTGCCTACAGCAGAGCCCAGAAATATACCTGAATGCTTCTGGGGGAGTTCGGTGTGTTATGAATACGGCGTTTCACGTCCTTGGGGAAAAGAGGCCATCGGCAGCTCCTCCGCCACCTCGGGTGACGGGAAAGGCAGTCACCGTCGGCACAATAAAAGGTGGCAAGGACAACAGAATTGCGTTGAGGAACAATCCATTTTAAACATATTAGTTGCTTTTACGCAACTCTGCATCTGATTTTGTTGTCTCAACATGTGATAACGTTTTGTCTTTCTCAGATGAATGAAAAAATTGCGTCTTTAGAAAAAGAGTTGTTGGAAAAAAAACCTTGGCAGCTTCAAGGGGAAGTGACAGCACAGAAGCGACCGGAAAACAGCCTCCTGGAGGAGACGCTGCACTTCGATCTCGCGCCCGCCCCCGCGCTCGGCCTGCCGCTCCAGGCCACGGACACACTTGGGGGACATTTCTTCCCCCCCAGCTCTTTATTTTAAAAACCTGCCAATAGAAAAGAGTTGAAAGAACGGCACGGCGAACACGCGTGTGCCACTCGGCTGGGCCACCGTTCATTCCCGTGTCGCCGTGTTTGCGTTCTTTCCCCTGTGCACGTGTGCGACTGTGTGTGCACTCCCCGCCCCGAATCATTTGAAACTAAGTTGCCGACGTCACGACACTTCACACCCAAGTACTTTTACGCGTCCCGTCTAAAAACTAGGACGTTTTCCTGTACAGCCAACGCCATGAATCCGCCAGGAGGCTGATGGCACCTCATGCACAGGTTTCTGCGCGGGTCCGTTTACAATGGCTGCTGTCACTGTCCGCGCTGCGTACCCTGCGAAGTCCAGCCAGAGACTCGTCACCGCATCCACTTCGTTCCTGTGCCCATTAAATCAAAATGCATTTCCTTTCCGTTCAGTGCGAGAGAGGATAGGCGAGAGGGGAGGGTCCCGAGGTGCTGGGGTACGTGTCGGCGTGCGCTCCCATGGGCGCTCCAGCACCAGGCTAGTTCAGACAGATGGGTGACCCGTCCCCCCACTGTCTGATTCGGGAGGTGCGGGCTGGGGTCTGTGAATTCACGTTTCTAGTAAGTTCCCGGGCGTCGACGCTGCTGGTCCAAGGGGCACCCGTGAGAAGCGCAGGTCTGGTTTTGTCTGCCTAACACGTGCACGTCTCGTTTCCGTTAGCGCCTGTGATCACAGAGGAAACCACGCTTCAACTCGAAGACATCATTAAGCAGAGGATAAGAGATCAGGTCAGTAAGAATGGAATTTAACTGGAAATTCACCGAAATTGGTAGAAATACTATGCGAATGTCCTGGGAGTAGGAATAATACTGTTTTCTTAGAAGCTTTGTATCAGTTTTTCATTCGAAAGCCTTAAATTTATGCTAAAGGTATCCTCAGATTTTGTCGTGTGAGGCTCTGTCCTTCACGTGTACCCGGGAAGACGGGCGTCACGCAGAGGACAAAGGGGTGGCCAGAGCCATCGCCAGTCTCCCTCATGCCTTGCTGACCCGTCGGGTGGTGCGGGATGGAGCCGTCGGAGGAGGCATTTGTGGTGACTGGTGTCTGACTCGACATCGTCACACATGGGACCCGTGGTCCAGGCACAGTATCTGGTGTGGCAAATGAGGGTCTTTTGTTATTTCAAATGTTAAAAACCTAGCAGAGAGTTTTTGTTTCAGAATTGGTTTTATTTTGTCAACGCAGAATAAAACGTGGACGTACGACCACAGCAAGGGTTGGCTTTACAACGTGTATGTTTTTGGTACAATTTGCTTCCTCAGGATTGGTATTCCAGAGGAACATTCCTGAATGAGCCTAGAAAGAAGCGACACGTTGTGTTCATCCATGTTCGCCCGTCTTTCGTGTTTCAGGCTTGGGACGACGTCGTCCGTAAGGAGAAACCTAAAGAGGATGCGTATGAATATAAAAAGCGCTTAACGCTGGACCACGAGAAGAGCAAACTGAGCCTTGCTGAAATTTACGAACAGGAATACATCAAACTCAGCCAGGTGAGGCGGTCACCGAGGCAGCGGGGCGGAGCGCCGCCCTGGGGTGCCGCCGTGATGGCCGAAACGCTCGGGACACAAGTCCCGCTCTGGGGTCACCGCGTCTCAGTGTGAGGCTCTGGGGTCACCGCATCTCAGTGTGAGGCTCTGGGGTCACCGCGTCTCAGTGTGAGGCGGCGAGCTGGGACCAGCGGGGCTGTAGTGGTGCCACTGCAGTTAGCCACTGGTCGCCTGAACTGTCACAGCTAGTTATGAACTTTCCAGCAGTTATTCTAGTGCTGCAATTTTAAAATCATTTCTCATTTATGTTTTTGAACTTACTGATCTGTTTTATAAGATTATCTGTGAATTCATTCAGACTTCCGGGTCTGGTAGGTTTTTGTTTTTCGCATTTTTGTCTCTTTAGAGTCTTAAAAAATATCTCTGGTTAAATAGGACGAAGTCATTTCTAAAAATATTATATTCTCAATGTAATCATCGTGGATTACTCCTTTGCACTGGACTCGTTAGCGACGCGGTCAGTGTGTGCTTGGGGATGACCAGACAGTTTTACTCTGCAAAAGCCCTTTAGGATCCCCCCAAGGTTTCGTCAATTAGTGCCACTTGGACAGCAAGAGCGATTATCGCCCTTGACGCTGCCGTGAAGTTGAAAGGCTGGGAGGTCGGAGTAAAACCCTTTCTGGCGTCTGCGACCCACGGTGGCAGTCGAAGGGACGTGGGCACATCCCCAGGTGCTCATCGAGCATCACCTGGGTACTTCGAGGAGAGCCAGTACGGACGGAAAGCAGTCGGTAACAGAGTTAAAGGCGAAACAGGTGGCAGGCTGCCTGCCAGCTCTGTAAACGTGAGATTTCTCTATTCCACGGGTGTCCACATCCAGGTCACAAGGTGTTGAGTATGCACTCAACGTAGGCTGATACTGGACCCGTTCCACTAGGAGTCAGTCTGGGGCGACCAGTGTTTCCCGACGTTTGGCGTCCACGCTAGAGGTCATGGGCAGGACGACGGGGAACAGCACGTGGGTGACCCTCTACTCTGGGTTGTCTGTGTAATGTGTGTTCAGGAAAAGGCTGTGTACCACGTGTACGATTTCACAGGCGTTTTTACCTGGGATGAGGCAAAACACTATATTAGAATAAAAAAAAAGCGTCAGTTAAGTTAAAATAGTTAGAAGCGGTAGCCAGTGCTTGGATGGGGCTGGAAGGCGGGCTCTGGTGACGGACAGTGGGGGCGGACCCGGGTGCCTCTCTGGCCTCGGGTCCCGGGGGCCGTCACTTCCCAGTTTTGTTTCTGTCTTAACGGAAGATTCAAGAGTAAACAGCCAGGCTCGGCCTTTCAGACAAGCGTTGGGACAGGGAGATGGAAAAGCGTAAAGGAGGCTTTTTGTTAGTACAATAAAAACTGCTGATTTTTTCCAATTTGATTTCATCAGAATGATCTTTAAGAAATTACGTATTAACTAAAACAAAAAGGGCCCCGTAACGCGAGTGGACGTTTGGCCAATTTTGCTGAGTCTTCATTAGCGCCTTCGTTCTGTTTTTTGTTACTGAGGCGAGATCGATAGTACAAAATTAACCGTTTTCGAGTGAATGATTCGGGCGCTGAGCACACGCACAGTGCTGTGCAGCTGCTGCCGTCCCCCGAAGGTGGCTCCCCGCCCCCCGCCCGTCCCCATTAAGCAGTTGCTCTCCACCCCTTCCGCACCCCGGGCCCTGACGCCCACCGGGCTCGGATTTACCTGCTCCAGGTATTTCCCGTGAATGGAATCCACAGCATGGGACCTTTCGTGTCTCGCTCTGGGTAGCGTAACGTCTTCCAGACCGTGACACGCGTCGGCATTTCATCTCTCTCATGGCTGAGTGACATACGTTGTGTGTAGATGGCACAGTTCGTTTACTCATCAGCAGTTGACAAGCTTCAGGGCCACGCGTGCCCTTCGGCTGCTGGGAACAGTGCCGCCGTGAGCTGCGCGCACGCGTACGTGCTGGGGTGCCTGACGCCTCTCGGGAGCAGGGCTGCGTGTGCAGTGCCGGCGTGTCCGGTGGCCCTGGCCCCTCAAGGCCCTGCGGGACACTTGTGCTGTGGCCCACCGGCGATACGCAGGGGCCCCGACTCCCAGCCTCGCCGGCTCTCGCCATCTCCCTTGTGGAGTGAGGCCCCCTGGTGGGAACAGCTGGCTCCTGGCAGCAGGGAATTGAGGTGCAGGTTCGGATGTGGGCGGTGGCGGCCGCCGCAGCACCCAGAATGCACCGCGCGCTGCTGCTTCGGGCGGGGCTGGCGCCATCGTCATCGCGGAGTCCCCACGTTGATTCTGCCCCGGATGTCCCCCTGGGGCAGGGGCCGTGAAGGGGGAGGGCGGGCCACCCTGCTGGCCTGGCCGGGTGCTTTGTCCTGGGATGTGTGTTAAGCCGCACAGTCTGATGATGCCGAACTTTCGTCCTAAGCAAAAAACGGTCGAAGAGGAAAACCCGGAGCACGTGGAAATTCAGAAGATGATGGATTCCCTCTTCCTGAAGCTGGACGCCCTCTCCCACTTCCACTTCACGCCCAGACCGGTACGTTGGCGCCCCGGGCGCAGACAGCGCCGGCGTGACCTTGACTCTGACTCGGAGCTTCTGTGCGGCTGCCTTTCCCCGACGCGTCCCGCCCGCTGGAGCCCCACGGGCTTCCGCGCTGTCACAGAGCGCAGGGTTCTCTGCTTTCTCCGGGCCGAACGGTATCCCGTTGTGTGCGTGTGTGTGTGTGTGCACGTATGTGCGTTTGCGCGTGTGCATGTGTGTGCGTGTATGTGCGTGTGTGCATGTGTGTGTGCGCATGTGCGTTTGCGCGTGTGCATGTGTGTGCGTGTATGTGCGTGTGTGCATGTGTGTGTGCACGCATGTGCGTTTGCGTGTGTGTGCACGTGTGCGCACGCATGTCACAGCTCCAGTCACCTGCCAGTGGGAACACAGTTTGCTTCCGTGTCTCGGCCACTGTGAACGCCGCAGAGGCGCAGCTGTCTCTGAGTCCCGGGGCCACAGCTTCTCTGCGGGTGGACAGACCCCCTGGCTGGGACCTCTGCTAGGTGCCCCTGCGAGGACGAACTCGGCCCACAACCGTCACCCATCGGTCCCCTGGGAAGGGCCGACCTGCGTTAGCAGCATCTCAATGCCATCAGCGCCTGCTACGGGCACCGATTAAGATGTTAAGTCTTAACCCACGGAACATGGAGGCGGCTCTGACTGGTTGTGCAGACGAGGGGGCAGGGCTCAGGGGACGGCAGGCTCGGGACCCACCTCTGGGCCACGCTCTGCACCGCAGGCGGCTCCCTGGTTCCCCGCCCGCCTGGCTCCCCGCGGCTTGGCTCAGCCCAGCTTCTTGTCCTGCTCACCGCCGTCTGTGGAGCCACCAGCCCTGCCCGTGCCGTCCCCCTTGCTCCTCGGCGTCTGTCGTGTTGGGATGGGACGAGCCGGACGGGTCTGGAGCTCAGAAGCCTGGGTGTGCCCTCTGCCTGGCCCAGCTGAAACTCGGGCACGGGGCTCCACGTCCCGTCTGGCAGGTGATCTCCAAGACGCCTTCTGTCCCTGCGACTGGGGTACTGCGTCTTCCCTAACAGACAGTGAGCTTTCGTCACCTACTTCTCTGTTCGTGCTCCATCGAAGTGTCATTTCCACGACGGGAACCGTCTTTAGTCACAGGGAGAAAATATGTTTGCAGAAACCAGCGGATCACGTTAAAGCGTGGTGCGGGGAGAGTGTGCGTACGTGGCGGGGGCCCATAGTTCAGCGGATGAAGGGACGGGTGTCTGTGTCGGACCTTGGAGAAGCGAGTGGTCCCAGGGTGGCGTGGAGACAGGCCGGGCCCGAGAAGACTCGGGGACCACGCGGTCGCCAGCTTGCCTGTTCCAGGCCACATACCTCACGCTGCAAGAACCTTCGTAAAGCATTTTAGAAATTATACTTTAGTAGTTTCCAGTTCAGATGTTTTACGTCGGGACTGCTTCCGGCTTCCTGTTGAATGTGCCGTCTCTTCCAGCCTGTTCCAGATATTAAAGTTGTGTCAAACCTGCCGGCCGTGACCATGGAGGAGGTGGCCCCAGTGAGTGCGAGTGACGCAGCGCTCCTGGCCCCAGAGGAGGTCAAGGTGAGGGGCCGTGTGGGGACGCCACGTGTCTGCGTGTCGCTGTGCACAGCCAGGTCCCCGCTTAATGGAGTTTTCCTTGAGTTCGTAGTTTTTATTGTACCTCTAAGTGTAATCGGACTGATAGCGTCACGTAACATTCAGACGCCAGTCTTCTCTATTCGAGTATTTTCATGAATTATGGTGAAGGCGGTTGGTAAGTGTCCAGGGTTAGGATGTCGCCGTAATCCGGATTGAACACCAGCAGCGCTAGGTGTAGCTGTGAGGCTTAAACGCTCTGCATGTGTAGTTCGCATGCTAGTGCCCTTTCTCCCGCACGTCCCCCCACGCTGCACCCAGGTAACATGACGGAGCAGGGACCAGGGCACAGAGCCCGGGTCCCGGGGGTGCCGCACGCGCCTCATGCCGCAGGCCCTCCGAGCAAAGGCGGGCGCTCACGCTCAGTCACCGCGGCTTCTGCCCGGGCCTTCCCGGCTCCTTGTCCTTCTCTCTTGCTGAGCCACGCCCACCCCCACCCCCGCGGGTGACAGCCCTGGCAGCTCGGCTGGCATCTGAGGAGAAGAGAGGAAGTCGATCCTCACTGGGTGGACCCCGTCCATCCCTGGGAACCCTGCGTCAGCCCCGTGGCCTCCGCTCAGGCTCAGCCTCACGCGTGGCCTGAAGCCCAGGCCGGCGCCCGGGCGCTGTGGGGGTCTCGCTCTGGCAGAGTGGGGGGATGGGGGTGGCTTGCCCCCCGGCCTCCCGGCCGCCCCGTGAAGTGCTGTGGGCCCCAGAGCATCACTCGTCTGCTCCGTCCGCGACTTTGAGGTCGGAGCCGAGGTGCCGGTGCGGGTTAGGGTCACTGTCGGCCACAGACGCGCTGCCCCGGCCACGTCCCGTGGCCTCGCTCCGTCCCGGTTCTCTGGCGGGTCGGGCTGACCGGTGCGCTGGTGGCCGTGTCTTAACAGGAGAAGAATAAAGCCGGAGAC